ATTGAATCGGGAATATCTGAACCTTTCACGCTGAACTCCATTTCGGATATTACCTTTTCACAGATTTTCACTCAACCTTGAATATTCGCGCGCGCCCAAAGGCACAGCAGATTCTAAATTTCCCCGATATGAAACGAAAGTTTATTCTTGTCGAATCTGCGATGCTGTTCGGGGGAATTTTTATAAATTTCTCACCCTTTGAAAATCTGTTCTTGAGAGTGGTGTTTAAATCATTTTTCTCGTTTCACATGTTTAAGTAATAATAGTGTAGCTTCGTAATCCTAATCTCTGTTTGAACCGTATTTTTTAAAGTGCTATGAATCTAGAGCTAGCTTTAATATTAAAATCATCGATAATCGCCTAAAATGATAATTCTCTTCGTAAATTTTTCACAATAGAAAACGACTATCGGTATTGTTCTACCGATTGAAATGCAAGTAACACTTGAGCATCTCGAGCAGACAAGATTAGTTTCGCTTAAAAAGAAAAAGTAACAATTCATTCAGCGAGTAAAAACTTGTAACAAAATTGCACGTTCGAGTCGCAAGTTGAAATCTCCCTGCGTTCTCCTTGTTACACAAAAAAAGCGAATCTCAAAGCTTTCGTTCATCTACAAAATCAATAACCGTCGTTCGCTGTAAGCTAGATTCTGTCGTAAAAAAAAAAAATATTTCCTTTTTTTTCCAGTACGCATCGTTGTGTGAATCGACATCGCATCGATCCAGCAACTCTAAAGGCCCGGAGAGAGATATAAAATTCCCGTGGGGGGTGGAAAAAGCGAGGAGCATTTTGACGGCGCGCGGAAAGGAGGAAGAGAAGAAGAGAAACGAATGGAGAAAATATTAACCCGGCCAAGACGAAAGTCAGTGTCTCCTTGGCTGATTTGACATTTCCGTGTGCGCGCGCGCGTTGTGTGCCGGCGTGGTCCGTGTTTTCATCGCTTGAAAACGGAAGCCCGGAAGAAAAGAAATGGGAATATTGGGAAAATTGCTTTCGTCGGTGTCCCTGGTGTCCATCTGGTGTCTGCTGATCGTCGAGCCCGGCACGGTTCACTGGGCGCAGGATCATCTGAGTAAATCATCTTTTTATTGTATTTCTGCCCTTGGTCCCGGTCCTCCTCGGTGATTCCATTGATTTTTCTCCGCGCGGCTTGTTCCCCCGGAAAATCGAGAAGGAAATTTCCGAGTGGTTAATTGTAGTCCACGGAACGAACAGGTTGTAGATTTCAAGAGGAAATTCTTGAGTTAGAAAGTAGGGAAATGTGTGTTCCGTCGCGCAGGTACGGAACGCGTGGGGTCTTCGTTGACCGGGTTTATGGCACGCTCGCACTAGAAGGTTATTTTTCAGAACAAAGACGCTTCGTAGCTCTGCGAAAAAATAAGTCATTTCTTACAGAACAATGCCTTTAGAATTTCGACTTTTCCGCGTCCTCAATAACCGAAGACGTGTCATAAACCAGGTATTACTGAAGGGTCAATCCACACGCGCGTATAACGACACTTTCGGCCGAGGGTTGACCTGGCGGGAATTTCCGACGCGTCACCGAAGGACAGCGAAGAGTCCACGCACCCGCAGGTATGGCCCCACTCCTTCCAAGGAAAAGCGCGCTAAGGGTGCAATGGAAGGGTGGGTGACATTCGATGGGCACGTTGATTAGTAATTTGTGCGTACGTGAAAAACCAATCAGCGTGCCTTCTTGCACTTGGCGGGGAAGTCACTGCGGACTCCAGAAAAGTTCGGGAATCGAGCGACAGATTCAGAAAAGGTTCTATCGTGCGAACAGCATTAGATCTCCAGCCGTTCGAGGAGACACAAGTACACTTC